TCCCCTCCACATAAGCTTCTTAAGCTGCCCCTGGCTGCGTATTTGCTGCTTGGAAGGGGCCATGCGACTTGCGTCAGTGAATGTATTGAGCCGCTGTCGGGTAGAGTGCACAGAAATACGCTGTAGAGTCATGTTTGGGTGGCTATAGAGCATTAATTATGTGTATGCAATTTACATATAGACAAAGAATTGCAATGCATTATCTAAGGCTTAGCCATGCCATTTACACAATACTCATATGCCAGGGGCACCATTTGGACTGTTTGAAAATGTAAGATATTTAAGATTTTGCGCATTTCAATCGGAATAGAGTTCCGAGATTCTTTTATTCTTTGGATTTTAGCTGTCAAAAATTTTAGTTGAACATTTTAGTGGAATATATAAGAATTTTTAAAATATTCCCTGAAGCATTTCTTTTTTATTTTAAAATATTTTTTCAAAAACATTACTAAAACAATTTACTTTAAATAGAGATTTAAAAAAAAAAAATCGAAAATTTAATTACATATTTTTTTCTCTAAGGATCCCAGCTTAAGGCCTGCTAGGCTATTGCAATACACTTATTCCATTCACCTTGTATGCCCAGATACCCCTTAAGAGCATCATGTTGACCAGGGTATTCAATATTCTGCTAAAGCGATTCTTTCTTGTTTATTCATGTTTGATTTTTCTCCGTCTTTTTTTTTTCTTAACTGTTAGGCAAGCTGCTATTGCCAATTGAAATAGTTGTTGTTGTCGGTATTTTGTGGCAATTTGCAGTTTTCGGAACTGTCTTTTAAGATGTTTATGCAATTGACCAAAGCGTGTCGCGAGCTTTTCCTCAACTGCAAATCTTCAGCATTTTCGAGGTGGCGGGTGGGGGAGACTTACGCACTTCATGGCCACGCCCCTTAGCTAATAATACATGTTGCGCAACAGCATGCCAAGCTGTCCCAATGCTCGACTCATTGGTGACCTGTAAATAGAAACAATTTGGGAATTGTATATCTATGGACGAACGGTACTTTGTCAGTTCTTGATATGCAATGTAACAAGAACTGAATTATTAGGCATAGAGCACTCTAAATATATAGAGTTACTTTTGTGTTATTGCAATTTCTTCTGTTATGAATAGATCTGTTATGACAGATGAGATAAGATCTGTTAAGCTGAGGATCTCTGAACTCTGGGCAGCTACAGATCTTTCCCACTTCTTTTACCCTATTACTAGGCAATAAGAAGTTACCAAATATCGCACTGCAGTGACAGCTTTAGCTTAGATCAATAGTTCAGTTAGAGGCCTCAATATCAATTGGCGCTCAGCTTATTCTTTTTTTTTTTTTTTTTTTTTTTTGACGACATTATGTGGCTTTTTTATGGCGTTCACAGAAATTCAGTTTATGGCTCGTTGTAGCCCAAATAGACCAAAACAAATTTGCGTGCTAAACTGTTCGCTTACAAGACCACAATGCGCCCCCTGCCTACAGCCCGCCCCGGGAGCCCCAGTTCCGACCTTTTCAAATGCATTTGTGTTTGCTGCTGATGTTATAACTGCTGTAAAGGGCTCAGCATTTGCATTTGCATTTGCTTTTCACGTTAAAAACCTTTTGACCAAAAGCCGCAGCGTGACATGCCGCAAAAAAATATAAAAAAAACCAAAGTATTGCGGGCAGATACGCAACGTGTTAACATTTTGTTTGTTGACTATGGATACCCTGTAAAATGTAAATTTGTTGTTTGATGACTTTTCAAATGAAATTATTAGAAAGACTTAAATTAAAAATTCAATCAAAATTTAGCATTTAAAAAATTCAATTAAATTATATATGGCTAGCGCAGGAAATATGAAACGATGTCATTTGGTAATCCCAAGATGGGCTTAAACTCAAATGAAAAGATGCATAGGAAAAAAAAAAAAAAAAAATACTATGAGCAAAATTATATGTCTAGGCCGCATCAGACTCGATGACGGCCTGTCGACATCCATTGCAAAATCCACAAAAATAGAGACGTTCGAAATGCATTCGAGCTGCAAGCCAAGTGCCAAGAGCCGAAAACACAGAACTTTCGAAACTCAACGTCGAGACGTGGCGACAACAGCTTGAAGCCGTGGGAAACGAGGCAGGGAAACAGCTAGAGGGCGGGCAAGGGGAGGGGGCTGGTGGGATGGTGGGCTCGGCATGTTGTGTGGCATGTGGTGGGATTTGCCCGCCCAGCTGTCTGATAATGGATGCACATCTGGTCAGCGGGCCAACAAGTTGCTCGCCTAAGTCATTTTGCTATCAAGTTGCTCGCTTAAGTCTTTTTGCTGTCAAGTTGCTCGCTTAAGTCTTTTGTTTTGTTTTGCTTTATATATTCGTTTTTTTTTTTTTTTTTTTTTTTAACGAAAGTTTACCGTGCCGGCATTCGCGTCTGCCTGCAATTTATGCATTGATATATATTTATTTGATATGCACATTTGGTATTTTTTTCGATATGTCTTGCAACGACCTTGGCAATTGTTCAGCCATTTATAATAGTCGCGACTGCAATGATTCGTATCTGGAATTTTAAATAGCCCCCAACTCCCATTTGTCGCTGTTCAGTGGTTCAGAGTCGATTGTCCGAGTCGTGTTATACGCTTTATGGAACATCTATCTGGTTGGCTCTTCGAAGGGCATTACGTGTGCTTCAACGCAATCCAGTCCAATTAAGCGGCCCCTCCTTCCCGCCGGAGTCAGCACCCCAGCAGCCAGTCGAACCCAGATGACGTCATAATTGAGCATTGTCTTAATTTCAGCTCTTTGATCAATTAACAAGTCACAGCGATAATACCCATAATTCAAATACAAATCTAAATTGCGCTGCGCAATTAACTAGCTAACTGAAATTAAAATAAAGTAGCTCTTAAAAAAGGCATCCAGAATTTTAAATGAGTTTTCTTAATAGTTGTGCACTGCCTTGACGAAGTTAATTATATGTAATGGGTATGCTAAGGCGAGTCAAATACTTTGTAACGTCAATCCGGAACAACAGTGCTATTGAGGACCACTAAAATGTGTTTCAAGCCGCATAAATAAAGTTGCTGTAATATAGATAATAGTATGTATGTACATATATTAGTAGACGGCTGTACTGAATACTGTGATAGTGTATTATTCAGCAGTAACACTATGCTATGCTTTTATACTCTTATACTGGTATACTGTTGTTTACTTATGCAGCTGTACAGTAATACTGCTATACAGTTATACTGTTATACAGTTATACTGTTATACAGTTATACTGTTATACAGTTATACTGTTATACAGTTATACTGTTATACTGTTATACAGTTATACTGTTAAACAGTTATACTGTTATACAGCTATACTGTTATACAGTTATACTGTTATACAGCTATACTGTTATACAGCTATACAGTTATACTGTAACACTTCTAATTTCCATTAATTTTAATTGATTTTATGGCTATAAGTATAACAGTTTCATGCTGTGCTAGTATAAAGAAATACTAAATATTGCATAAATATTCTATATATTTTAATTAATTTTGAAAGGTTTTATTTCTGTACAAAGTGTCAACTCTCAAGTGCTGCCGGTTTCTGACAGTTAGATTAATTATATAACCATCATAATATCAACATTAAATTATATGATTTCTAGGGTATTAAATTTTCGTAAATCTTATATGAAATGTTTGTTAAATTTAATTACGGATTTTACAGTGGGTTTCTCGAATTAGATACTCATAAATTTAGGAAGCAATTAAATTCAAAACAGATGACGTGTCTCTCAGTAATGGAGCAAATCTGTTGATGCTGTAAATAGAAATTATTGGAGAGAAAGAAGAATATCAAACAGAAAAGAATAACAAAGAACGTGCGACATCCACGTTCAGATGTTTCTTTTACCCTCTCTCTATTTCTCTTTACGTCCATATATGAATTTATAACTGTTTTCAACTATTCACAAATTCGAAATGACATCAATATTGAGCTTAAAGAATGCAAAACTTGTTTAACTTTCTTTTCCAATTAGAAGTTGACAAAAGATATCGGCTCAGATACCCTAGCCTTTTTAGTTCAATGTGGAATCTTAGTACTATCATATAAAAGTCGGTAGCATTAGCTATCATTGCTATAATTGTATTTCATGCTCTATTCCTCATATAGGGACTACTGTTATACAACTGATATATGTCTCTGGAATATGATGGCTAAATGTAACATTTATAAATTCTTCTCTGGTCAGAAACATAGTAGAGTATCTTAAATTCGAGCAGTTTTATATGTCAGCTGGCTTTTTGTTTGAGTGATGTGTACATAAATTGTCCTCAACGGATTTTAGAAGTAGCTGCAGAACCTGTTCAATTAACAGCTACTTTGTCCCCTTTGCTGGCGATTTCCCTAGCTGTTCTTTGTCTTAAGCTTTAGCTTTATCTTTGTGTTTATTGTTTGGATTGTTCTTCACACTTGCAGAACAAGGAAACAAGTGAGAGCACTTGAAGAATCAGTGCGTACAGTCAGTTGCCAGTGCTTCGTTTATAATATGTCATAAATAAAGCTACTATAAACAAATGTAAAATATTTGCAGCAATAACAACCCGAGTCAACATCCATTTGAATGCCATAAAAACGATTTATGTGCGCATATTTAACGCCTCACACACATGCAGAGGTGTGTGTGTGTGTGTGTGTGTGTGTGTGTGTGTGTTGTCTTAAGCATATGCTCATCGCTGTACTAACCATAACTAACCATCGCACCGCTTACCTCCTCCCTCTCCCTAGCTCCTCAACCTGTCCAAGTTCAAGGCAACCGCAACAAAAACAAAGATTTGTGTTTACAATTTGCACAGCGCAAAAAAATCGAGGGGAACAAAATAAAGAAATAACTATGATAAAATGTTTATATTAAAATACCTAAAAACTATTTAAATAGTTTGCCATCTACTTTTAAGTGGGGTATATTTGGTATGAATAATGGATAGTGGATTCCTAAATAAATATAAATATTATTATATTAGAAATTGTTCAATAACTAGAATTTCAACCCATGTTTAATTATTTCGAACTTCCCTCATAGCCAAAGATCTATACAGAAATAAATACTTCCTACTGCAAATTCTCAAAATCATTAGAAATCATTTAAAGAGGTATTCTTTAGTCGTTCTTTGCAGTTTTTTCTTTCATCTAGCTTACATCAATTCTTGTCGTTTTTAGCCAATCGCCCTCTAACCGGCTGTCTGGCCGGTCTTTTATGCTCGTTCTCCTCTCATGGCTCGACCTTTGAGTCGTTCATTGAGCTTGAAAGGCTCGGCGGTTGCTTAAATTTCCAGAAATTATCAGCCAACTCTTCTGACTGCTTAATTAATCATAATCTGAGCAGCAAATGGACAATTATTTGCCTTAGGATGTGTTTGCTTTTAATGCTTCTGAAAGTTGTTTCAAAGATAATTTGATTATGTGCTCATATATATATATTTTTTCTGCGTTTAATTGAAGTCAACAACAAATTGACATTTGCATAATTTTTTTAATTTTTACAATTTTTTGTTGTTTGTTTCTTTAATTGCGTTTTGGATAGAAGTGCCATACGATTTCCTTGAAAATCTTGTAGTCTTCCTAAAATTACCTAAAATTAGCTGACTAAGCAAGCGTGATACCATTTCCTATAATGATCTTTCAGTTGTTTTTAATGCCATCTTTAGTACTTTTAGCTGTTGGAATATTCAATTATTCGTTTGGGAATCATCTTACGTCTGCTTTTGAAATTGTTTTGAACTGTGCGAGCTATTTAAACTGGCGCGGAGCCAATACGAATTTCAATTTCTTTACTCCCATAAGCAAAAGTTGATGCCAATTAAAACTACGAAACAGGTTTGCTTGCACAAATAAAAAGTCTTAAACTAAATGCCGACATAATTTTAGTTTTACTTTTGCATCTATTTAAGCAAACCTTTACTAGTTATTCAATAAGGATTCTTCTGTATTTAAATGGGTTAGCTTTGATCTGGCTCAGTTAACCATAAGGTAGGCTTTTGCGGCTCTTGGCTTCTATACGGCTTTGTCTCAAACCAGATCGATTATCGATATTCCAAAAACACTTCCCTTGTTGCGCAGTGTAATCAAATTGTTTGCGAATTGAACGGCCAAATTGAAATCTAAAAGCTGCGTCCTTCAGCTCACCTAGTATTTGCGCTTATCCACTGAAGGGGCAATCGTGTTATATGCATTATCATTGGCCGGAACTAAATGCAGAGGCAGTGAGGCGTGTCGTGTGTCAACAGATCCACCCGAAATCCAAATTCCACAGATATTGAACTTTAGACACGAATTGTGATTCACACTGGCTATGAGTTAAAAAACAAAAAAAAATATTCTTACTGTTGCGGATAAACTAATCGCAATGGAGCTTGACCGATGACTGCTCCGCACTCGCGTCCGCTCTCGCCCCATCTCCATCGAAATGTGCCAACTCATGTCCACTCGTGCAACTGTTGACCCAACTAAGCTGTATATCCCCCCCCCTCCACAAGCTCTGCGAATGGCTCGTCACGGCGGTTGTCCAACATGCTTGGACTCTACAAATATTTAAGCAACTTATTTGGCGAAACGCTGAGCCGTCAATTGGATTGTCGCACTAGTCAAATATTACAAGCCCTGGTCTCATCTGGCTAGCGAGGGGGGGAGGGGGCAGCGGGCAGCTGTACTTCAATTGCAAATGAGATTCAAGTACTCAGGAAATATCGAAGATATTGAAGTGAATGAACGTGACAGTCGAGCGTCACCAACTGTGGAATACTCGTTCATGTTTACTTATTCTCAAATCAAATAGCTCCAATATCGTTAGACTCTAATTTCGATTAGAGATTGGGATGGTACTCAGTTAATATTTAAGGTCTGGACCTATCTCACATGGCGAAAGGTATTATCTTTTTCTTCACGATTTCATACACCTCTATGCAAATATCAAGACAGTCCTATATTTCTATGTAAGTTCTATTCATCCTTCTATAAAACTTCAGTTAAAACTTCAATTCTCTGATATCAACAGTTCGTTAAGTAATTAGCTAATATACTCGCTTTGTTTATGATCGAGCATCAAAAATTGGGTGCGAAGAACAAATTTGATTGAGGAATTCAAAGGTTTAAATATCAAATAAAGAAGCTAATGGAAAATGCTAATGGTGGGAATGGCGAAGGTTTAGATATAAATGACTTCAGTCAACAATGGGAGCTAATGATTGACTGATTGACTGCCTGATTGGCTAACTAAAGATCAATACACAGTGTGAACCTACAGATCAATACACATAAATATTTAGATTCCTTTTTAAGGGAATCAAGAAAATCTCTTTCTCTTGCTAATCAATGCCCATGCGGCAGTTCTTTAAGCAAAAATTTCACTGTAATATTTCGCATATAATTTCATTGATTTAACATTTTGACAAGGCCTTTTTCACACAGCTGATACAGTAATGCATGCACAGTCAAGCCAATTGGAATAACAATGTTTCCATCTCCATTACACAGATTTCCCAGATAAATTATAATTAAGGGAAAACTGTTAAATATGTATGCATATTTATGCATATATGTATATTTATAGTATTGATAGACGGAAGCCAAGGCTAGGTTCCCATAAAAAGCTAATCAAATAGTACTTTATCTGTATTTGATATGGTCAGGTAGCCATTGTCGCTGGATGTGCTTTGTGCCAGGTACTCAAAAGTCTGATAAGCCAACGAATGCAGAAAGAGCTGTAGATGCATCAATGCATATGCAAACAGGTTTGCCCACAGATGCTAAGCCGGAGAGCTAAGCCAGAGTGTGCCCCGGAGATACCCTGTAATTGAAGAGCTATGATTGCTCGTCATATTGTTATTTCACTAAATTGAAATCTTTAATGCAGGTATAAGGAAAGAGAGGGAGAAAGAGATAGAGGGAGGGAGAGAGAGATACAGAGAGAGGAAGAAAGAGATAGGGAGAGAGGGAGCTGAGCTGAACTGAACTGTATCTATAAACAGCTTCACTCATTAGCTTATATATGCACCGCACCTATAGACTCTCTTGCTTTATTTACAGGGCATCCAAGACTCTCGTCTACTTGTCAAGTCGTCTGACATGTAGATTGGGTCAAACAGCTCTTTGCTCATTTCGATGGGTCATAGATTGGCTATTGTTGCTGCACGCATGCAAATCTTCAACATATTGATAGACATAAACTCCCGCCTCAGCACCCCCCGCCGCCCCCCTGCACTAACCAACCCAGCCTGCTTAACTGCTGTACCGCCTCCCCTGATGCCGCCCCCAACTGGGCAGCAGCTGCATTTGTGGAGCGTGAGCTGTTTGTTCAGTGTTTTTGGTATGCCAAGGTCAAAGTCCGATGCGATCCAATGCGACGTCTTGTTGTTGCTGTTGTTGTTGTTGTTGTTGTTGTGGTTGCTGCTGCTGCTGCTGCTGTTGATGTTGATGTAGTTTGGATGCATTCACATTGAAATTTAATTTTAACAATTTTTTGTTGCAGCGCTTTGTGGGGAGGGGTTAACTGCTGTATCAGCACTGAAATGCGACATTTCTCAGATCTAACCTACTTAGCATGCGGTTAAAAGAACTTAAATACAAATATACAATAATATAAATATACAAATTTAATTTATATATATATATACAGTTTGGCAAGAAAGTGTTTACACACAGGGAAAAAATTTGAATTTTTTACTTTGAAGCGAAATAAAAGCAGTAAGAATATGCATATTCAATTTTTTTTAAATGAAAGTAGGTATATTAGACTATAAACTATATTAGTAAGTAAAAAAAATTACAATATGTTTCCATTAACAAAAGAAAATAACAAAAAACAAAAGAAGTAACAAAAATCAGCTGACAAGAAAGTGTTTACACAACTAAAACAATTAATTCATTATAATGTTTTAACTACTTTTTAGTTAAAACTAATACTTTTTTTGGACACCGTTGGCATCTATGACTGCTCCCAAGCGTGTATTCATCGATTGGACCAGGTTTCTTACATATTCCACTGGGATATTTTGCCATTCCTCCAAAACAATGGTTTTCAGCCCAGTTTTATTCTTTGGATGCCTCTTGGCGGTCCTCTTCTTCAGATAAGCCCACAAATTCTCAATGAGGCTTAAGTCCGGGCCTTTAGCTTGCGTATCCAACACATTTTTTCAGTTATAAAGTAGCCAGCACCTCACAATATGCGCCTTATGTTTGGGTTCATTGTCTTGATAAAACCTTATAGTTGGTTTGCCATTGACAAAGAATCCAAATTTGTTGGCACTGGTTACTAAATGTGTGCGCAAAATGTCAAAATACTATCCAACATCCATGGTGTTCTCAATAAAACATAGATATCCAACTGCTTTGCTTGAGATGCACCCCCAAAATCAACAGTCGGTATTATATTTTTCTTCTCGAGGGCTTTTAGGGGCTTGCCCCACTCTCTAGTTGGACCATTGTTATAATATACCATCATTTTGGATTCATCGCAAAATATTACATCATCCCGATATGAATCTGGCTGATTTCCGTGCATTTTAGCAAACGTTAGACGCTTTTGAGCGTGATCTGCCGACATCAGTGTTTTTTTCCGGGCTAGTCGGGACGACAGATCATTACTTTTTAGTGCTCTTCTGACACTTTCCCGGGAAATGGTTATGCTACACTCCTCCTTCAGCTCACTGGCAAGCATCCTGGTCAAAATAGTTGGTTTCTCGTCCATTTTTCTGAGCATAATTCGCTCTGCCCTGGGTGATAATAGATGAGGGTGTCCTTTAACTTTAGCCTTTAACCTTTAACTCAAGCCTATCCTCTTTTTTTGCACGGCTTAGTATATTATATACTGTTTTCCAAAAAATCAAAAACATTTGGCCAATCTCTGTGGCAGTTTTACCCACCAAGAGACATCCAAAGAATAAAACTGGGCTGAAAACCATTGTTTTGGAGGAATGGCAAAATATCCCAGTGGAATATGTAAGAAACCTGGTCCAATCGATGAATAGACGCTTGGGAGCAGTCATAGATGCCAACGGTGTCCAAAAAAAGTATTAGTTTTAACTAAAAAGTAGTTAAAACATTATAATGAATTAATTGTTTTAGTTGTGTAAACACTTTCTTGTCAGCTGATTTTTGTTACTTCTTTTGTTTTTTGTTATTTTTTTTTGTTAATGGAAACATATTGTAATTTTTTTTACTTACTAATATAGTTTATAGTCTAATATACCTACTTTCATTTTAAAAAAATTGAATATGCATATTCTTACTGCTTTTATTTCGCTTCAAAGTAAAAAATTCAAATTTTTTCCCTGTGTGTAAACACTTTCTTGCCAAACTGTATATATATAGCACGAGTGCTGAACTAAGCGAAGTCCAAGGTATTGGCTGTACAAAGGGGAGCGCTTAATGGGTCGATGGGTCGA